AGTAATAATTACAGGTAGTTTCTTTTCGTGGGTGGCATTTTTCCCTTTCACTCGTGGTCACTAGACATTAGCTATACCTACACATAATATAATAAAGTAGCGGAAAATAAGAAAGAAAAGGTTAACTCGGTTAAATACCAAAATTCGAAAATATAAGTTACATGAAAATTCCAAAATAATAAAAAAAAAAAAAAAATAATAAGACTGTTATTTTATTTATTTATTTTTTTTTTGTTAGAAACAGAAAATTTTATGAGGAACCTCGTATTAATTTTTCAAGTTTTTTCACCGAACAAAATATTAATTATCGATTATAATTAAAAAAAAAAAATTAAATGAAAGCAAATTTATCATGCTTATAAATGGCTCAAAAAAATTCAAAATATTTTGAAAATTTTATCATAATACACGGAATATGGTCTTATAAAATTTGGTACATGTAGAATCTTCCCATAGTCCTATATAAGCATTGAGAATTTCAGGAGAGAAGTAAATGTCTCAGTGGCGTACTTATTAGACCTGAGTTTCGAGGGGGGTTATCCCCCCCCGGTAGTACGCCACTGAAATTTCTCCGCATGCAACCCCCTCTTCCACTATGGTACTACCTCTCGAAATAAATGTTTGGTAAAACATGAATAGGTACTATAGAATAAGAAATAGCTTCAAAATATTTACAACCGGATGTCTGGATAATAAAATTGAAAGCAATAATGATTAATTTAGCTCAGCGCATAACCATTGAACCCAGTAGTAAGGGAAATAAATTATATTTTATAAATATTAAATGAACGTTAGCCACCAGACGACCAGAAATACGACGATTGTACGACGAATATTAATTTCGTAATAAATAAATGCCAGAAACGTTCTTATAATGTATGAATAATATTATATACAATAAATATTTTACAAATCGATCATCATAAAAACATCGAAAACTATTAATATTGAAAATTAAAACTATACAATATAGGTAGATACTCTGCTCAATGACAATGAGAGATCATGCCGATTCTGCGCATTCTCACTGGACCGCGCTCCGCAGCCTGCTAAGTGCTAACAGTGCGTTTTAGTGCTAACGAGAGCGATTCCAATATGGGCAATATGGCAGGATGTTGTAAACTTGTATGGGGATGCGCACAACCGATTTCCTAGGACCGTAGTGGCGTGTTCTCTCACTGAACAGCTGACGGAGTATAGTTTTGTTTTTAGTCAATTATAATATATACCATAAAATAATAACGTGACTATATGTCTCGCTTTCGAGATAAGTGCCCCGCTGTCGCTAAAGGACCTAAAAATGTCCCGCTTTAAGAACTGTCGACTTGTGGTAGGTATTTATTGTTCACGTATCACAATATATCTATACAGTTTACAGTATATCGCTTCTCCGGTGGAACAACGGCGTAAGTGAAAATGTAATTGTTCTTCAGAAAACGTAATTAAAAATTATTGTGTAATTGTTTGTATTATTTAGGATATAACAAATAGTCTAAAAAGAATAAACGGTCATTGTTATAATGTCAAATTTAGTCTAGTTTAAGATAGTTTTATCGGTTTTGTCAAAACCAATAAACTATCCCTGCACAGTTCAAAATTAATAAAAAAAATTGCAATTGTGTCATTGTTCTTCCAAAAAATGCCAAATTTTTAGTATTTTTGACATACAAGATAAAATTAGGAAGTTCTGATTATTTTGTTATAATCACACACTATATTATTATGTATATATATATTACCTATGTATTATGTATACATTTTATATATTATATTTATATATAATCAATACTGTAAAACACTAAAACCCATAAAGTAGGTACTTAGATTGTTGGGAGTAGTCTATTATGATTCGTGACACGTCATTTAAACCGATAAATAATATCCGGCGACAAATGATCCGGTATAGATAACAACCCGGTTCTTCTGTTGTAATCTTTTATATAAACAATTAATGTTTTTTTTTCAATAAAAAAAATTGTTATTTTACGCAAAATTATATGGTTTTCTTATTAAAATGTACAGGTATCCCGCTTTGAAGAAAAAAATTATGGTCACGTTGCCATAATAGCATATAGTACCATACATTTACGACATACCTATACCGATGCGGTACGCAAAAAGAACAGTTCGAAAATGATTTAGTATATCCTTCATGCCATGATTAAAAATTTAAGATGCTGATTTAATGTACCTTACTACTACCTTTAAAAACTATAACATAATTTGTGTGATATTTGTATTTACATAGAGCTTGTGATGAAATATAAAAATATGTGTGTTCAAATTTTAAACATTCTTATTAATTAGGTTCATATCTATACCTACCTTCTAATTGGTTGGTATACCATAAAATGTTTAATCATACGTACTGTAATGTAATAGTTTTTATCATCGTAACCATCCAATTCCTGGATTTTTCCATTGATAAAACCGTAATCGTTTTTCAAGATGTCCTCGACTTGATCCTTGTTTATCTCAGGACATATGTTTTCCGTTGGATCTGACATTTTTTAGCAGTAAGTGTAATATTATTTAATACGTGTACAATGACTGCAAAAAATAATATAATTGAATCGCACCTCTCACAATTCTTAAAAAAAAAAATTTTGAAAAAAAGTGTTTTGATCGTACTTTTTATAATAAATAACTGAATGTTAGTATGTAACACACAAATAATACAATTCTAATATACAAATACAATTGCTGCTGCTGCAGTAGGTACATATTATGGTGGAGTCGTAATAAAATATAATAATACAATATGCTTCGCAGTGCAGTGCCAGTATACCTATTGTCCAATTACTGTTGTTAAACCACGCCCTGTTATTTACAAACTCGCAGTAGTCCCTATGAAATTTTATCATGCACGTCCTATTATTCACTCATTGAATTAATCTCTGACTCTMATAATAAAGTCTAGAGATAATACAACTTATCATTTCACTTTAAAATATCTCAAGTACCAAGTATGAATAACATCAGTACAATAATATGTGAACATATAAAGGTAAATTATTATGAATACCTATTATACTAATATGATATGATACATTGATACGGTTACATTTATTTTATAGACGAGAAACTGTAGAGGGTGCTAACAATATTAAGTGACCAATAAAGAGCCTTTTTCTGCTTGTGGAAAATTTGGATATATACTTTTCTTGACCTGCATGATATAAAGATAAATCTAAACAGATCGACGTACTTCTTATACTACGATAAAAAAATTAGAGACTCCCTCCGGTGACTACCTAGCTTATTGAAATCTCTATAATAACCAAAAAATACCTACATTTGATATAGAAAAATCGAGTATCTTTGAAAAAATAATAATTATAGGTTTTTATTAGGTAAAATGAATCCAAACTCAAACAAGATATTTTAGTTAAGTTACTATTTATAAATATAAAATACAGTAATTAATAATCATTATATTCAGAAGCCTGAGGACACCACATTGGATCATCAAAGGCGAACCCAAGTATAGGAAGACGGTGTAAATGATTCTCCGTCAAAAGCTAACATAAGTACCTATTTATACTAACGTTTGATGAAATTTTAAATAGGGCTAAAAATTTAAAAAATACACTTTGTTGACCCTCCTAATGAAATTACTAGATATACACACCTGTGTCCTATTACATAAATGCATGTACTTACCAAAAATGTTGTGTTGCATTAAATGTCATTAACACTAATGTGGTAACTTGTAATAGTGTTTAAAGTTTTAATTAGTGGAATTGTAGTAGACAACATTTACAACATTGTCGGATCTACCAATATACGACTGTACCACTCTACTCCGCTCATATATACTTTAAATCAAGGGTTAAGATCCTCGGCCTTCATTGAAATTTTGTGTGGCCCGCGAGTAAAATGTATAATTTGTACTAAAATCACGAACTAACATAATATATATGAACTGGAAACTGCGGATTAAAAGTTGTTTGTTCGTATAGATACATATTGTTAAATTAATATATTTAGCAATTATGAATTAAATTAAATTTATGACCATAAAATATATATTCATTACTTTGTTAGGTATATATTTAACTTTCGGTCCTAGAAAAATGTTACACTTATTTTTTAAATTTTAAATGCTTATCAACGAACTACTAGTCCGAAATTTTATCTGTGTAGATCAAAATATTTCAAACAATATTCTGCTTCTATATATGAAATAAAAATCAACGGAGTCCTTCAAAAAGTAAACAAATAAATATAATAAAAATAATACAATATAGCATTTTTTTAGAATTGTTGTTTTGATATACTTAACATCAAACTATGTAAACAATTATTTTAAAAATATTTGAAATTTAAAAATAATGAGTGTATACCTTGTACCAAATAAGAGCGCACCAAATTTACGTCACAAAACCGGTTTTGCATGTGGCCGCCCGGTGCGCTCTTATTTGGTACGGAGTATAGACACTTAGGATTGTTCTATAAACAATTTTATTTAAAAAATAATAGTTATACACTTATACATATTATATTGTACAGGCCGTATATAATGCGATGAAATCTTAATGATTACCTACATATATCTGTCTATTTGGCTGAATAATATGACATATTGACCTACGACTTATTACGAGTACCTATATTGGCTATATTCGACTTCGAAACGAATCTATATAGTGAGAACTTGCAGGTTTGATACTACAAATAGTATTAACCACTCAAGTACATAGTACATAGCAATATCAAAACTCGGGTACAATGTGATTACTTCTAAGTTATAATACAATCCAGCAGGACAGATACTGCCCATGGTATAGTGCTGTGATCGAAAATTCTCTTCATAAATCTCCACTTATGTTGTCCTTTGTCATTGAGTCTGGTCAATATGCTAGAACATATTTTACAAGCTGCAGTAATCTTAAGTTTTAAATTAATACTCATCAACTAAACCAAATAGGACAATAAGAGCTAAAATATTTTGAAAATTATAGGTAGATACGTATCACATATTTACATCTAGAAAATGTTAATACACATATGATTGATGAAAAGATAAAAGTCTTATTATACAACGTACAGATATTTATTTTTGAATTACATCACAATCTCAAAATTATAACTTTGTATAAAATAAGTTTTGACTGATGACTAGCGGCTCTGTGGCTCTATGATAAATTCAAGTTGATGGCGCTATAATATAGTATAAGTAATAATAATACAGGGTTCACAATATAGGCGATATTTGAGTTTAAAATTTGGGGGCTGTTATAATGTACACGTGTGTCTATGCACCAGATGAAAAGGGAATTTGTTAGTAGGCTTAACCCCTCAAGCTCTCCCAAATCAAATTTATTGCTCACAAATATATAACATTTCAAACGTGATGCCCAAATTATAGAAGCCCAAAATATAGAAATCCAAAATATATTATTATCTAAAAATGTGAAGGTTAGCGCCGAAGATTATAATATTATAATAACAATTGAAAATGTAACTACGTATAATAATTAGCACTCCACATCCAAGAATATAAAATATTTAAAAAAGGCTTTTGCTGATCACGAGTTTATTAACAATAAAAATAATGTATAACTCTACAAACTACTTTTTAACTAACTTGTTAAAAAAATTTCCAATACCTACCTAGTTTTCTAAAATAAACGGAAAAACACAAGGAAAAACTGAGTTTTTTTTACGTAAAACACATTTTCGTTTTGTTTTTCTAATGTAATTCTTCAAAACTAACCATAAATAGATGAAATTTTCAATGAATGTTTAAATAAGTGATTTCTAAGCACTACACCTTTTTCGAAATATTGCGACTTTGTGTGTTATTTTAGTTATTTATAGACATAAGAAAAATGGGAGTTTTGTATAAGTTTTTTTAAAATTATTGTCGATGCTAAATTTCTCATTCAATCAAAAAACATAAAAATTTAAGACTTCGTTCCTCATAAGTATTTGTTACTAAAAATTAAAAAAAGAGGTTAATTGTACAACAACAATACATTTTTACGAGTGTCTTAAGTTAAAATGTTAACAAAATCACGAAAATTGGCAAATTATTAAGTAACAAATTATTTGAAATTTTTTTATTTTCTACACGTACCTACCTGAGTTTTTCAAATTTAGTAGGTACTAGATTCTTCTTATGCTTCCCTAAATTTTTAAAAAACAAAGTTTTATCCGAAAGTCAAATTCATTTTTTACGAGCGTTTGTAGTTAGATTTGGATATTCATGCGTAAATTAACTCAAATTCTCAAACAACGATTTCCTTATTTTATTAGTTGTATAGAATATAGATAACTAGATAATAAGTTGATTAATACTTCTTGAAATACATATTAGGCTATAGGAGAGTACCTAACGTCTATAATGATGTTCCGAAAAAGATGCAAAGTCGTCAACATCATTTGAACTTCAAATTTTTACGAAATTGGATAGGTGGGCATATTATTGAAACGATAAAAATTACGATTTTAGTTATGATTATGATGTAAATCAAAAAATTTTTTTAATATTTAATATTAACCGTATCGGATTTTTATACTATCATATTTACAAGGCTGGGCATTAACGCGTTAATAAGTTAAAGTTAAGTTAAAAAGTTAAGTTAATTTAACTTTTTAACTTAATAAGTTATTTTTTTTTATGTTTACTAACTTAATTAATAACTTTAGGAACTTTTAAATTAACTTTTAATTAACTTGAGTTAATTTTACATTTAAACAAGTTAAGTTAATTTAATTTAATTTTGTGAACTATTGTAGGAATACAAATTGCTGGTAGGTACACATTTTATAAGGTTATAAGTATATGCTAACAAAATGTGTACTGTTAGCTTTTGCACACATAAAATAGTAATAGTTCTYTGGTCTAATAACATGAAARATTTTAGGTACCGATTATTTTAATTTTACCTATAAGCAAACAAGAAACTTTTTTTAACTTAACTTGAGTTAAAAAGTTAATATTAAATTTTGGTTAACTCTTAACTTAATTCAATTGATGGAACATTTTGAATTAACTTTTAACAATTAACTTGATTTAGATTTTAATTTAACTTAACTTAACTGAGTTAAAAAAAATCATTAACTTGCCCAGCCTTGCATATTTATATACGGCGTACCTATCATTTGTTTTTATGTTATTCATAAATATGGAAAGAGCAAAAAAAAAAAAAAAACACGAGTCAACGAGGTTTAAATAAGTATTAAGCCGAACAGGTTGATTTATACCAATATGAACAGCTGCAGTTATGTAGGTACAAGTTAGAGTGAAAAATTATTTGATAATTTGGAGATTTTCAAATTAGTTTCCTGGAGAAATTATACAGGTAGTATAATTTATTAATAGTATAAAAGTGTTTGATGTATTTATGTATTTGAAATTAAAATTAAGTTAAATCTCTTCCGTTAACCGTTACCAATTAAAAAAAAAAAAAAAAATACCAACAAACAATAGTAATAATAGAAATAAAACTATAAAATATCATTACCCATCGGAAATTTACAAGTATAGAGGTTGCTGGTTCACTAGTTGACACACGTCTTTGCTTAAGATTGTTTTTCATATCCGTACGCAATTAACAGTGATTAACTTATGAAATCGAGTTGAAAATTCGATACCTCTTTTCTCAGACCATGTGTTATACTAGTATTATACTAGAGACCATGTGTTCTAGTATAATACTAGTTTATCATGAACAAAGCTTCTTAATATTATTATGTTATTCTGTTGTAATTTCGAATTTGCCTATGGGATATTGTATCGTCGGTCGTCACTTCGTCAGAATATGCTGAAGATCAAATAATTTCGTACAAAAAGACATTCGAACAGTTTGAGTATGACTTCTGTGGTATAACTTGTTCGGTTGTTTTCATTCGATGACGTGTATCATATCAAAACTGTAACGATATCGATGATAATAACACCAACACCGAACACTAATATGTGGATGATGTAGAGCCTGCTGTTGTAGTAGAATACTAGAATAGTGTATTAGTGTTAAACGTTAAGTTATTTCCACATAATTTCGTGTTCATCATTTTAGATTATTAGTTTTGATGTCATGTTAATTTGACGTAGGTGTTTGAATATAATTAGACGACGTGTAGCGTAAAAATGCAGAAACCTCTGTTGTATTTAACTCAGTTCCTTACACTATTCAGCGTATTTCAACAAGGGCTGAGCTATTTTTTGACTGTTGATGCTCACGCCGAGGAATGTTTTTTCGACAAAGTCGAAGTCGGCTCCAAATTAGGTACGTTGTTTGTCATTGCAGTCTTACACAAATGAGCAGTATCCTAATGTACATTATTGATTATTGTAATATTTATTCATTTTTTTTTCTAGGTTTAATGTATGAAATATCCGAGGGTGGTTTCCTGGATATTGATGTCAAAATAATTGATCCAGATGGTGAATTGATATATGAAGGATTGAGGGAGTCTAGTGGAAAGTATACATTTGCTGCAACTAAGAAAGGGGCATACACATACTGTTTCAGTAATCAAATGTCAACAATGACACCAAAAGTAGTGCTATTCAGTATGGAAGTAACTGAACCAGAAAAAGTAGATCTAGAAAAAGATAGTCCAAGTAATTATGATACAATTGAATAAATTAGTTTTATATTTTAATTTTAAAATGAGGCAAAAACTGCAGTTAAAATATAGGTACTTATTTGTTTTGTTAATTTGAAAATTAGAAAATTAATTGACTTCAAACAAATTCAACTAGTCTATGCCTATAATCATCAAACTGTTACATTTGACTTCATAATTTATTACTGTCCAGATGTAATCCTCGTATGGTTTAAGTGTCTGTTGACTGTTGCTATTGTATTGTGATAGCATATATCCAATTACTTTAAAAGAACATACTTATGTTATAATTAAAATAAAACAGTCAATTTCTGCTTAAAATTATGTAAATCTCTGTAGTTGTGTTATTCTTTATACAATATTTTAAAAATAATTTATATTATCGTTTTACAGCTGGTGAAGAAGGCGAACATAAAAAACTAGAAACAATGCTTCGAAATCTGGGATCTGCATTAACTAGTGTTAAGCACGAACAAGAATATATGAATGTGCGCGATAGAAATCACAGGGCTATTAATGAATCTACAAATAAACGTGTTGTGATGTGGTCATTCTTTGAATCATTTGTATTGCTTTCAATGACTATTGGTCAAGTTTATTATTTAAAACGATTTTTTGAAGTTAGAAGAGTTGTTTAATGTTTGAAATACATCCATGTTTTTTTTTTTTAATTTTGTCTGTATATTTCTTATATATATTTTTTTTTTTTTTAATATAAAATAAATTTAATTTAAAATTGAATATTAAATATACATATTGTATTTTGAATAATTCAAGTCCAGATTTAATTTTAAATTCTTGTTATTATGGAATAAAGTTCAAAAATCTATGATTACCAACCATTGGTTGAAAAAAATATATGTAGCAATAACACAATATAAGATTCCATATTGTATTGTTTTGAAGATGTGTAAACTTTATCTTGTACAAATAAGTGTTTTCTACTTATTTATTTTATTAGTGAGGTAGATGAAGAATGAATAATGGTGTGTACAATGCCTTATACTTTTATTTTTCTCTACCACAATCTCTGCAAAATTTCGATGCTTTATTCTAAAATACTTAGGATAAAAACTTCCAGTAGTTACAGGATTATTCTAAAACCAATTATACTTGCATAGTTTATTGTATATTTTAATTTTATTATAATTTTTTGCCGAGATTTACCAAATTATTTTTTAATTATTACAATCAAAGTAAAATATCTAAAAAAAATCAATTAAAGCATCTCTTGCACTAAAAATGTATTTATGTACAAAAACCAATACTTCACAGTTATTTTCTCACTCAGAATCTTAGTCAAGTATCCAGGTTTTTCTAATAAACAAAAATATGTGAGTGGATTATTATAAAAGTAACAGGTTATTTATAATTTTAAATTCAGACATTTACAAATATATTTCAAACAATTATTTATTAATAATATAATACTATAATGTACATGAAAAATTAGTAATTTGAAATTCAAATTGTTGTCTATATAATGATATACAAAATATGTTTAATGTTTAGATTTTACTTAATATTTTTTAACATAGTATTATATTTTTCACACAATTTAATGTATTTAAAAGTAAAGTAGAATATGCATTTTAATATATAATTTTAAAATCACAACAATTTTCATTTCTAATAACAATAGTCAATAGTACAATGTTTAAAATAAAAGTTACGTTTTATTATTGGTAACTTATGTAATTGATTCAGTAATAAATTTAATATATAATAAATACATTGCATGAATAAAAAGCAGACCTTAATAATGTATAATAGTTATTGGAATTTAGAGTATTGACAAAAATATAATTGTTAATTAGTATAAACTTTTGAACATTAAGTATATTATTAGCAGCGCAGTGATAACTACATGTTATTGAAACATTGATTGATTTAATTTATCAGAATTTTAGAATCTTTTGAAACAGTTAAGACATAATATATTTAATTTCTTAGGATCAAAACCGTTCTCAGTTTACAAGAGCTTCCTTAGGCAATGCCCTATACTATTTCTTAAAAGTTTAAATTATTACATATATATATACCAGTGAAAAGTGCCGTTAGTGGTCATCAACTAGTTTATATGTGGACAGAGGGGAAGTTTTGAAATATGTTTTATGAAACATGTTAAGATACAATTTTTTCATACATTATCTATTTCTTTTAAAATTGAAACTATTAATATAAACAATAGAACAAGACAAATTTCAAGAATTGAAATACTAGTATGATTTAATATGAACAATATATTTTTTTAGTTTTCATAAGCTTATTAAAATTTGGAATTAAGTTAGTGCAGTTAATTTGTATTTTTAAGGTATTGAGTATTGACAGAGATTTAAATTTATCTTTTGTTTTAAAGACAGGAAACATTTTTTTTTWAATTATTATGTAAAAATATAAGAACTTTAATACATTTAATAATAAAACCATACAAATAGATAAATAAATAATTTATACATTTATAATAATGTATTTACGAAACCATCAATCTGTAAAAAAATTCCTTGCTAGTATGTTACCACTAATATATACATAAAATGAACTAGTATTTTTTTAAATTATTTTATAACCTAAAAGGTCTTTGGTTTTTAAAAATATAGATTAAATTAAATACCTAGATTATTATAAATTGAGTTGTAATATTAAATAGGCGACAGCTTTTAGGATTTATAATAGCCAAATMTATTTATATTTCCAATGATATATATTAAATAATGTGTAAATAAATAAATTAAGGTATTAAGTTGCAATTAAACATTTTTAAGTAGAATAACAATATTTACCTTATTCCTTATAGGTACTATAAAATAAATTTGGATTAGAACATTTAAAAAATATTTTATTATAACTTTGATTTAATTCGTCTATTTTCTTATAATACAAGATAATCTATAATTAAATTTTAGTATAAATTTGGTATAAATATTTGCAAACATTTATAAGGTTGATATAATATATGGTATATAATATGTAATATATATATATATATAATATTATGCATGGATATTTTACATTTGAAATGTATTCATTATTGACTTGATTAATTCATATTTTTCAAATACTGAAATAAGTTTAATAATTTTAAAGACTGGTATAACTGATTGTCATATTATTTTCCTGAATATCTTATAGTATAGATTAGTAAATCAGATATCAAAAATTTTTTAAATAAATGAAATATTTATTGTGCATCGGTAAGTTATTTTAATTTAATGCAATACTTGTGACACTTGTGTGTATATTTTTACTCAGAAATTAAAATATTTTAATCTACTACTTTACACATTACAAATATATCTAAATATATATTGAGTTTTTGTAATATATTAATATCCTTATTGCTTATCAATAGACAATCAAAAAGTAGAATAATATTCTGTCCAGTGTCATAATTAAGAGGAATCAGAGGCTTTAAATAATAGGATTTGCACTCTATTAACTATTATTATAAAATATTCTTTTTCTATTAATCATATTAATTATTAATTAAATTATTATAGAGTGATAAGATGAGTATTTAATTCAATAATATTTTTAAAAATGTATAATATAGTTTTAGTAAGGTGAGATTGTGAGAGTACCGACATATCCTCAGATCTTTTTACAAATACTGAATGAGGAGAGCCCATTTAAAAGTTTAGAAGTTACCCCATTGGCTCTGCATATTATATTAAGTGGTTAATTTCATTAATATTCATAATTTATTGTGTGTTTTAATTTTGGACGAATTATAATTGAGCAGCATAGGTAGTTGATTTACATTTTTTTTTTTTTTTAAAGAACTATGGTTTCATATTTTATTTTTTGACTTTCAAGTAAAAAAACTAAAAATTCATGAACTACCTACTTGTATTAAAACATAAATACATTTTATTGGTAGCAATTTGCTTTCAAATAATGTTGTCTTTGTTAAAAAGTTAAATTGGTTTATATGATTATGTTAAGATTTTAATTCAAATTTTCAGCTTTCATGTTAGCAATTAAATAGATTATGTATTTTTTTTTTATATTGATTTATTTTATAATTAGTTAGTATACAAAATAATTATAATAATATAAAACATCCTGTTAGAAATTAATCAGAAATCAAGTTAAGTTACTATGATGAAGGGTATTTTAAATACTTTTCTAAGATTTCTGGTGATATACAATGTTTTTGTTTTTGTTGTATTTAGACAATATGTGTATTATTTTAACTGTTATTACAGATTGTATATATTCTAACGAAAATTAAAAAATTAAATATGTTTGTCTTTAATTGTTTTATAGTTATATTTGTTAATAAAACTGAATAAATAAATATGTATTTAATAAATTTTATATTTAATTTAACATTTATATTAAATTAATACAGAAACATCCAAATATAGGTATTATGTTTATAGGTTATAACTACCTATAAACTTTTAACTTATTATGTTTAAGAACTATAAAAAAATAGTTATACTAAATATAGTTTTATAATATATACTTATTAATAATATTCCATGTAGGTATTTAAAATAAATTATATCACAAGAATAATATTTTAAATGTAATATGTAATATGTATATATATCTCTAATATAGAGTAAAATAATATATGTAGGTAAATTAAGAGAATGTGATACCTGCATGTGTTGTCTCCGTCATACAAGTGTGTAAGGCGTAACATTACAAAAACTGTTTAGACGGGGTAAAAAGACTCATTCAGTACTCTTAGTAGAAACACCAAAAGTTAACACAATATAGAAGATAATATTTTCTGTGTCGTAGCGTTTATATTTGTTTGATATCTTTAATAAGAAAAAGTTGTAATACTTTAAGAATCTGATATTTTTAAGTTTTTCAAATTTCAATAACTTTTGATATATTGGTCTTATCGAAAAAATATAAACAYGTGTCACAGTAAAAATTCTCCTTTTTTCATGGTGAAAATTTGGTTTCTTAGTTATAACTGTATACTTCTTGGTTAGAAACAGTTTTTGCTACGTATACACTTGTAAGACAGAGACAACACATATGCGAGTATCACATCCTCTTAACAATAACTTATAATTTTTTATCTGTATAATAATTTATAGTTTATAATAATTTTCAATTTTAATAAATATTTAAAATTATAATTTTAAAATTACATTCTAACAAAAAAATGTAATGAATATATATTGAACTCTTTATAATGTTTACCTTTTACAAGGATGAGGCAGTCTTAAGTATTATTATAATAAAATATGAATTAAGAATATTACTTTATAACTATTGATCATAATATATACTATATAAATTATAACATAATAAAGTATTATTAATAAACTTTAAAGCAGAGGCCTCCTAACTTTTAAATGCAAGAAAATAAACTAAATAAATAATGGCATATTTTAAACCATACAATTAAAAACACATAGGTACCAAATATTATTGCTAACAATAATATTTGTAGCATAAATTCAACTTGTTTCAATACAATAAAACTCACCTAATACTTAAATATTTGGTATGAACTAATAATTATGCAGAGCCTTATGCCATACAAAATACATAGTATAAGCTATACAATTAGTAAATTATATTGTGTTGTACACTTGTATGGATTGCACTTGCAATAATTGATTAAAAGTAATGCTTAGGTTTTTCAAATGTATACTACTATTTTGTATTACTTAAAATGTCTAAAAATACCTATGTATTTTGTTCAATATACACAATTTTTAAGTTGCAGTTTGGAGGCCAATAAAAAAAATATAATAAAATAAAATAATTTAATTTAATTATACATTAAACATACTTATAAAAAATAATAGTACAGAATTATATGTTATGTGGTAAATACATCTTACTGTTTTATTTATTTTCTATTAATGTCTGTAGTTGTAATACTAAATTTCTTGCAAGTGATAAGACAGTTTTAGCGTCGTGATGTTCTGCCATTTCTAAAAAAACACATTACACACATAGGTATTTCATATTTAGACTAATAGTACATTGTTTTAGTTAACATAAATATAAAATAATATTCTTTAAAACTSATAATTAATTGTAAGTACTTTAGTATTTATTAAATTTTGTGGAATATAAAATTCTTTCATCAAGTGTCGCTAAAAATGTAACAGTTAATGAAAACTTATATAAATATTGGATTTGTAAAAACAAAGCAGTAATTTTAGTATAAACTAAGTTGTTTTTATTTTTATTAGGATAATTCAAAACTTGTATACAATAAGCAAATTTGATATTTATAATAAGATTAAAATAATATGAGTAACATGTAGAGGAAGAAACCCGTTAGTAGTTCGGAGTTCCTCTTTTACTAATATAATAGGTCTCTACACCATTTACGCTTTAGTCTACGAGGTGGGTTTTTTGGGAGGATAACAGATAATATTAAAGTATTTATATGCATTCTTAAATTTTGGTAGAAGTATTTATACACTATTTTGGCTAGCTCAGTGGTAGTACTTATTATTAAACCGTCAGCACTATTGATTGAAATGCCTGAATTGGTCGGATGTTTTTAGGTTTACCAGGACCCGAGATTTTGATTAGATGAGACTAAACTGGCTTATGATTGTATTATATATAAATAGTTTGTTTTGAAGTGATTATTGGAATCAAAGAGTGGATGGAGGTGATGAAGGGGGAGACAGATTAATATTTTACAAGTAAATTAAAAAGTAAATTCAAGTTTTAAAATAGATAAAGAACCTAAAGAAGCTTTCATTACATGAAAATCTACATAAAATATTTCAAGGAACTACATGATAAATGTAGGTTTTTAATTAAATCTGGTTATTCAAAATTATTGAAACAAGAAATATTATCTCTACTTCTGTAGTTCTGTTTGCTTCAACTTATTAATATAAGACGACAGTTTACAATCTATATAAAAAAAATCGGCAGATATTAATTTTTAAAAAAAAATGTCTAGTTAAAGTTTCAATTTTCAAATATAAAACCAATCAGGGAAATTATAATATTATGTCAAGTATTCAAAAACAAGTATGCCATTAAAGTTTAAATTTATCATTAATTAATTTTAAATTAAAATTTGATTTGCCTTTTGTTATATTATATATTTTTTAATTCATACTTTTATTATTTATTATGTTGTTATTAATTTATATACATAGGGCAGGGGTCAATAAATGGCATTCCATGAAAAAATTTTATCTGGCCCAAGGCCAAGAAAAAACAGTAAATAAACATCAGTATTATTTGTTAAGCAGTTTTGATGGCTGATGATTAATTTCAATATTCTTAATATGGGCCTTCAAAAATATCAGTTGGTGACCCTAATTATAGAGGGGTTGCCTCATAAAAAAATATAACTTTGAAAGTTATGTTAGAAAATATGTTGCAAGAATCTGAAATTAATTTTACTATACCATTGAAAAATTTGATGATGTCTGTGAAATCCATATGGTTGGCCAAAATAATATCTCTGTATGTTTCCACAAGAGCAAGAGCAAAGAAAAGCACAAAATGAGAAGAAGACATCTCTTTGGCAGCCCATATTGTTTCCCATACCGTAAATACGTCATCGTATAATAATTCTAAAAAGTTAACACATTTTAATTATAACTTATTATTAAATAATCAAAAGTTACAAACTATAATAAGTTTTTAGTTTTTTATTTTAATATTTTCTTGTTTTAACTTTGAGTCTCAAATTCTCAGTAACATATTATGTTTATTCTAAAACTAAAATATAAAATAAAATATAAAATCATCTATGAACAATTTTTTAAATTTAGGTTTAAAAAATAGTTTTATTTCAGACGTATTTTCTACTGGAATAACCAAAAATAATTTTTAACATACAATTTTAAACTTTTTATAAGCTTTAAACTATTTTATAGCAAGTAATTATTAATGTATATGATGATAAAATAGTTAGGTATACACTAAAATACCCATTTTCACAATTGTACAATAATTTTATTTTAGTATATTTAAAATATTAATGTTTAATTACCTCGCTTAAAATCCAACAAAAACCATCGATAACAAAAATAAAAGTGAGTGAAATCTCCATTTTCGTGCATAAGTTCAAACATTTCTGAATCTAATATTTGTACTAGAGATCTGTAAACCATAACTATTCAAGTTTATGATAAAAGTTTAAAGTTCAATAATATCACCTCATATTAGCAAAATGTGTGTCCATAGCACCACCGCTGTGTGGAAAATTGGCCGACATTCTTTCCATTAATAAGCAAAAACATGAATAAGATAAAGTTTCATCATCTAAAATAACTAAAAGAGGAGCAACAAGATCACACATTCCTTGCATATATCCCATTTCTAAATGATCCCAAACGTATCTAAATATATAATATAATAAATTAGATTAGTTGATAATTTTATATTTGTTAGTAATGTAAAAATTAATAATTTTAAGTAATAAAAATAATAATATTTTTAATTTACTTATTATTTGTGGCATAAATGATGTCATTATTATTTTTAACTTTCAAATTGTATGTTTAGAAAGATACAAGTAAATATAATTTTGAAAAATTCAAAACTGTCAGTAATTAATAATTATAATATTATACATCAATATTAAATTGTCAACATTTAATAATTCAATTTAAAATAATAACACTTACGTGCATATTATATTCCTAAGTTTATCTAGATTTTCAAGAGTAAAATAAGGATAATTCCTATCACATCGTTGAACATCCTTATCAATTCTATGCACATTAAGTCCAAAATTTTCAACTAATTCCACCTGTCAAGTAAATACAATTTTATGCAGTTGACTAATTATTTATATTTTTTAATTAAAAAAATATTACTGGGTATATTCCTCCTTGGGAACTTGCCGGAGATATGCAAGCAGACCTTTGTTCATAATTAGATCCTCCAGCTCCTTCGTTGTCATCTACTGCTAATTTAGAAGTGTTATTATTATCTTTACTATCTAAAAAGTACATATTATTAAAAAAAAATTAATGTCGTAAGCACGGTATAAATTTAATATGTGTATTTTTGAGTTAAATTTAAAAATTAAATAAATGTACCAAAGACATAGCTTTCAATCAAGTTAAAATTCAAAGATCAATAATGTATGATATAAAGTTATACATATAATACTTACATAAATATAATATAATAATAATATATATTGTACATATGATATATTAATATAATAATATTTGTATTAATTATAATATGTATATTGTATATAACTAATAAGTATCACCCACTCATAAATATTMCATTATATTTGGAAAATTCATATATATTTAAGTGTTTTATATTTTAATCCAAGCAACTAATTCATATTATATGGATATAATATACTTACTATTAAATAAACAGTGAAACCTCTAAATACCGGAAACTCTTGGTCGCCGTAATTTTATCCGTTATTTAGAGGTGTCCGCTATTCAGAGAGTGGGGGCGGAAATTCTCAAAATTAACTTGGAGAAATTAATAATTACATATTTACAACATATTTTATTATTTATACAATAATATTTATAATCAATGATATTTCTATTATTTTAATGGAAATATTAATTGAACATATTATTATTATTTAAAACTATATGAAAAATTCAGTTACTTTAATTTGTATAGACCTTGATGCTTAGTTATTTGGTGTATCAAGGTATTTTCTAATTCAACTGCGTCGGAGATAATATGTTTGCAAATACGTTCGTATGTAAATATGTAATAGAATCACAAACACAACTAAATACGAATAGGAATGTAGGATACTTCACAAAACATAAGAAAAATGTATTCATCAACGCGATAATGGACAGATAAGACTAACTTTAAACTATAATGTAGATATATAGATATTTATTAAAGCATTTCACGATTATTCTATATTTACGATAAAAATTGTCAAAATCAAAATGAAATTGCAATAAAAGTGTCAGTTATTTAAAGTGTCTGGTATTTAGAGTTTTCTTGTATAAGAAAGTAATTGAAAATGTTTCCATTCCTGAAAAAATGTCTGCTATTTGGAGATGTCAGCAATTCAGAGGTGTCCGTTAAGGAAGGTTTCACTGTGGTATGTTCATGATTAAATTTAATAAGCACTTGAAGTTTAAAAACATAAACAGTACCTTATATTTATTAACACTTAACTCAAATTATTTTTAATTACTTTGTAATGGTTATTATTACACTCAAATATAAAATAATAATTCAGTACCTGCCTATTATATTGAGCCAAGAGCCCAAATATATACAAGATAAAAGCTTTTAATTTACATACCTGTTTTATCATTTTCATCATTAAGATTGTCCACAGTTTTTTCTTGACTTATATTTGTAGTGACAATTACTGAAGTAGAACAATATAAAGATGTATCTAAAGAGAAAAATTAATTTAAATTTCAAGAGTACCTAGTGAGAAATTATATAAGTTGTATAATGATGTTTTATTTTTATTGAAATTATTATTATTTAGATAACAGTAAAGTTTAATTCTTAACACATTAATCTGTGCAGAATGAATAATAAAAAGTTGTCATACAACATCTTAAAGTCAGATGGGTACTTTGAAAATGGATATTTTTGATTTTATATATAGTTTCTAATTTTTCTGAATGTAATAAGGAGAAATTACAATAACTGTCAAAATATTTTGAAGATATTTAATTGAGAGAGGTTTCGTTTTTATCAGAATCATAGTTAAATAAAATGATTATTTATCACTGAATTTTTGATTTGAAAAAGATTTTGAGAAAGTTTTGACTGTCAAATCAATACTATCTAATAATATAATAATATAAATGTAAACAAAACATGAGATGAATTTTTATTAAAGATTATATGTTTTACCTTCAGATGTATTTTTTTTAACTGTCATGTCTTTTTCAGTAACTTCATCTTTACCTAATCCTTCATCTGATGATAAAGATTTCTAAAAAAAATAATTTATAATAAATAGTCTATAAAATCATTAGGTATACATTTTGAATGTAAAGGTACAAATATAATTCATTTTTTAGTAAAAATTATTTCTACTCTTAATTAACTATAGTACACACAGAACACCAATTATTTAGAGTCTAGACTATCTAATAGACTATCTTAGACCAGGGGCGTCCTCAAGGGGGGGGGAGCAGTCGCCCCCTCCATGACCTCTATTTTCTTTCTTAAAATTAATTAAAAGGTAAAAAACCTAGTAATTGGTGTATTTTCATATAAATATATAGGTGATGTATGAAGTTCGCCCCCCCCCCCTATGAAAGGGTCTAGGGACGCCACTGTCTTAGACTATCTAATGTCAAAATTGTACTTAAAATAAGTAAGTATTAATTATTAAAAAATAATTTAAACTGATCAAAATATGAATGATCTTTTTCAACTTACTTTATCACAATCAATTTCTTTAGGTATATTTTCAATATGTTTTTTTGTATTTGTTTGATTGGTGRCTAAATAAATAAATAATTTCTAAATTGTTTATAAAAAAAAAAATAATAATAATATTACATACGATTATCACAAAATTCGGCATTGTGTTCTAATTGAGTATCATCAACAACTGGAGGATTATCTTCGTCAGACGAGAAATTAATGTTATCTTCAAATACCTATGTTTTATAATTATTTGATGAAATTTCTAACTTATTTATTAAATAATCAATCATATAAATCTTACATCATTACTGAGTTCTTGACTAAGAACTTTTGAGGTGTTTGGAGATGGTGGAGGTGCATCTCCACCAGATGTACTTTCACTTGAAAGTTTTGCTAAATTAGCTGCCATTGTTTCACGATCTTTTTGTCTGATTATTGCTTCAACTGCCATCCACTCAGACATTGTTGTTTCATACTCTTGCTTACAACGTAAGTCAACAGTATTTCGTTCTTCAATTGTACTACCAAATTTATAGTGTCCCAATAAAAATGGCCAAACCTATAAATATATGTAATGAATTGCAAATTTAAATACCTAATTAAATAGTTTTATTTCATACTTCTTTTCGTATCTCATGTTGGACACCACCAAAATAAGTGAGTCTAAAAATTTCTAATTTGGTGTCATCATTTACAAGGTTTGAATTATTTTTAAATGAATACCATTTTTCCTTAGTCAATCCTGTTTCAGCATCACTAGAATCTATTATCACAGTGTTTACAAGACCAGATAAATGAGTTCGCACAGTAGTTAAATGACGACAATATGCAAGCCAACCATAAAATGCTCTAGATATGATTTGCTTTTTCATTGTTTCACATAGGATTAGTAAAGAATCGCTGAAAATAGAAAAAATAAATATACAATAATTTGAATTTTAGCATTCCTTACACTTAGATACGTTCACTATTTGTTATGGATAATGGATATATTAAAATCATTGACTACATTAAATTTAAAAAAATAAAACTGTTACTATCAACATAAAACTATAACAGATATTTTTTTGAATTTTTACCAGTTCAAAGTTTAAACATGACATAACTTAACATATTACCTACATATAGTTTTGTAATGTTACTTACAACTTACATACATTATACATACATGATAAATTACACATGAAATAATAAGTGAATTATTATTACCCTGTATCTTTACTCGTATTTTGAATATTTATTAATAATGGAGAAGCCACAGGATCCAAGCTACTTGATGTAGATGTTGATGAATTAGTCGATGATGATTCCAAATGACCTCTTACTCTGCTAAGCATGTTATTTGCAGCTGAAGGCATAGACCAAATTTTTGAATCCAATATTTCTTCTCCCCTAGATACTAGTAAAACAATAATTTTTCACACATCTACATGTTTATAATATAATTATAATTACATTATAAAATTAAATTAAAACTTACAAAATTCTTCATGTCTAGCTTTACTAATTATTTGAAATACATAATCTCGAGATTCTTCTGTGTTGCTAGATAAATCATTAGAAATATCTTGTATTTGGGATCGCCCTTTTCTTCGAAGTTTAGGAAAAACTTTTCCTAAACAGCAATATAAATAATAGGTACTACAGTGACTATACTAATAACTTATATACATGCAATTCAAAATGTAATATAATGTTATTTAGCAAATTAGTTTGAATTTATTTTATTTAGATAATATTATACTTATATTTAAATATAAATCATAAATCATTAAATGGGATAGGCGGGTATAAAATAGTGATTAGAATAAAACTATCAAAGTAAAAGACCCAGAAATAATATCTCCAAAACAATGGTCAGAAAAATTTAGACACATCATACACATAAATAACAAACTACTAGAAATTATTTACCTTTGCCTCTTTGAGGCCACAATGGAGGATCCAGTTGACCATGAGGTAAAAGTCCATTTTCTAAACAAGTAAGGAATGCTAGTAAGTGTCCTCCTTGAGGAAAATGTATGGGTGGTTGTTGTACGCCATCTTGTGCAACTAAAACTATAGTTCCGCCATTGTCATTTCCTATTTAAATACATAACACATATTAATTAAATATTGTCAAAAGATGTTTGACCTAACCATAACATTGTTGTGTATCTCGAGTCCTTACAAGTTTACCATACTATTTCTCAAGCACTTGATAAATTTGTTGTAGAAATTAAAAATTAGTTCACTAATTTGATTAAATATCACTAATAGGTAAGTATAGAAAATAAATATGTTATAAAATACTTTTTGAAAGAAGCTAAAAAGAAAGAATATTAGTAAAATACCTTGTTGATGACAATGAACATACACTATTTCATCTACATTAACATTCATTGCATAGTCCCAATATTGGCTGTAACATGAAAACATACAACTTTGTTAATAACAAATGGAAATTATTTTTTGTTAATTAAAAAAAATTTTAAGGTTAAACTGATAAATAAATATTTATATACAACTAAACAATAAGAATAAACTATTAAAAAAAAATTAATTAGTTTGATTTATTAATTAATTTGTTGATTTATATTTTATTTCTTTAAAATCGATAGACAAAACCACAAAACGCGTTGTAATGATGACTTTTAATGTTAGTAGTTTAAAAATAGACATTGGATTAGTTGCACGTGAGATTTGACGGCCAAACTGTTAATATTTTCACAATTTACACCATAAAGCAAATACGTAACTATTGTGTAAGTCAATTTATTAATGTAATTTAATAAATTATTATATAAAAATTAAAAAAACAAAACAATTAAAATATAAAACGTAGAAGTCGCTCTGCTGTATTGTTGCTCAGTAAGTTTTTAATGTACCTCGTGTCATTAGGTTGGTCGTGGGTTGGTCACAATTATACCTACTCTAAATATTTTGATATCATATCCTGTATAGAAAATGAAAACTTAAGAAATTTTTTATAGTGGAATAATTCACGTTAATTCGATTCATATTTTTAAATTACGACCAAATAACAAGTATTGTTACATTTTAAATGTTTTAATACTAATTCGTATAATTTTTAAGAGGATCAACTTTGATCATCATCAAGTCTTTAGACATTAGAAGATTCATAATATAACGAATTTTTGACAAAATTTGACTTTAAATACCTTTTATTTGTGACTGTGTTATAGGTTTTTTTTGATTTATTGTAAAAACAAAAAAATTACGAGGAATCTATGACAATTTTTTTTATCTTATTTAAACAGCTCAAAAATGAGGCTATTTTTTTAGGGTGTTGTTGATTAAATATTCTCGTTTTTTCAGAATTGTTTTTAGTCTTTTAATATAACTTTTGAAAAAAAAATATAAATAAACATAATGTGTCATACGAAAAATTTCATTTAGAATCCCACTCAGAATTTTGCCCTTCCTTCACTACTTTAGTATTCAATCACATGAAATTCTATCTCCAATCAAAAAGCTTAAAAATATAAAACAAAGTTCCTCATAAGTTATTCTTACTGGAATTTAAAAAATATAAAAAATATATAATTATTATCTAATATTGTTTTTATTTGAGAGCTTGATCTTAATTCGTTAAAACCTTGAAATTTAATCAAATCCACAATCATTTGTTATACAAGTTTAAATTATGACAAAATTGAAAACTTAAATAAAATATACCATATTACTTGTAGAATAATATAAAATATAAAATATCTTTAAAAATGTATTATATGTATTTATGTTACAGAATATCTTATTCAGAATCGTATATATTTATAAGTATACAAAATATATACTATATACATATATTATTGAATTAAAATTGAACATATCTTTTAAGTCACTAGGGATAATAACCAACGTACACTCTTAGATCACATAGGTAGGTAATATTATATGGGTAGGTATAGCCGGTATAGGTACCTCTCTAGATAGACTAATAGATACAGCACAGCAAGTTACACGTTATTATTTTAAAGTATGATAATACAATAGGTAGTTGATATGTACAAGGTATATTGATTAATGACGTATTGTATATCATGAAAAGCATTGAAACATATTTAGTTAGGCTGATTAGCTGTATGAGAAAAATTATACTATACAGATTTTATAACGATTTTATAGCAAGGGTAAAATTATTTATTTGTTTTTCAATACCACCTCAACAGTTTATAGTTAGTCTATAGAGTTTTCTATATTAAAAATCTGAAATTTCATAATTAAATGATAAAAATGATATCGGTTCATTTATTTACATAAGTTTTTTAATTCAACATGCTGCACTCAAAACACCTGTTTCAACAAATGGGAATGCTTATGGATTTTGAGGTAACTTTACCAGTTTTAACTACAAAATACTTTGTCTTTTAGTCTCGGTTTTTAACTTAAAAATTTAAAATGTTTTATTAGAAAATACTTTTAATGATTTTGGAGAAAAAAAGAGGTTACCGATTATATTTTATTTTTAAATATAAAAAAAATATTAAGGCCTTTATTAAAAAACCAACAAACAGCTAATTAGAATCAATACAAAATTTTAAAATTTCATTTTTTGTTAGTTATATTTTTTTGTTGAATACAATTATTTAAAAAAAAAAACACGAACACCACAAAAGCTATCGCATTTGTTCGAATACAATAAATTATTCAAAATATATTTATAGATTTTATGTAAATTTATTGTTGTTTAAAAATTAGCTTTAAAAATGGGTATTTATTATATTAAGAACACGCTACACCCGCATGTGTTGTCTCCGTCTAACAAGTGCATATATATTATAACATAGCTGCAAATTGTATGCTAAGGAGATCACATTTAGCTCCGTTAGTTTAAAGTTTAGAGTGAGTTGACCTCTTGTAAAAATTAGAGGTAACATTATTATGGAGAGCTTCTCATAGACTTTTTATTATATTTAAATTTTAAAGCGAGTTATGAATATTTTAAGATATACAAAAAGTTTACAATTTTAAAATACTCATAACTCGCTTTAAAATTAAAATATAATAAAAAGCCTATTTGTAAGACGGAGATAATACATGCGAGTATAGCGTCCTCTGAACAATAATTTGATTTTATATAAATATTATAAATAAAACTATTAAGGGGACGCCACACCCGCATGTGTTGTCTCCGTCTTACAAACGTATAACATAGMAAAATCTGTTTAGYGCGGGACAACTTTACYCCCTTTRTATTTATAGTAGAATTACCAAAATTCCACAACGCATAGGTAAGAACTTTATCTGTGTCATACCGTCGTTATTTTTTTGATAACATAAATATAATTAAAGTTATAAGCT